TTCTAACAATGTTCTAAAAAATACTTTCAACAAGAAACACAGACATCTCAACTCTTCCAAAATTTTAAATCCAGTGTCCAATTGATATATCATCGTTCCCATCCTCTTCTTCTCCTTACTTTTCATCACCATATTCCCAAGAAATTACTGAATTGTGCGGAAGAAAATGGTTCGTCCGTAACTGTTTTTACATATATTATAAAATAAAGGAAGATTAGAAATCAGATGCCAATCAAAAACATTTAATTAAAATTTAAGAAAAATGATAAGAAGTGTAGAAGGAGCCATCAGAAACCAAAGTTCATCCGCAAAAGCTTTTTTAAGCAATCACAAATTCACAACAGACCCAGTTGGGTGTTCTTCAAGCTTTTCCAAATAGTCCAATAGTGATTTTAGTTTCCCTTCAACTATATTTTCCCAAATCAGTAATTGAATCAAAACTTAAGCACAACAAATAATTTTTCCAAACGATTCTAACAATAGGTAACCAACAAACCCAGATTTCTGATTTTGAATTTGAAATCTGAAAGTTTTCGGCTTAAAAAATGGAAATTAAAATCACCATAGGAAGTTAGATTACCTAAAACGATTACTTCCCCAACGCGATTATTAGAAATGGGTATTATTTGGTTTATAAATGGCTGGTCGCGGGTTATGGGTTTGGTGGGTTTCATGGAGCGGGTCGTCTCATATGTGCACAGATGTTAAAAGGGGTCGGATGGATGCCACGTGGCACTTCCGTCTAACTAAGGGCAGATTCGTTAGGATAGTATGACGGCAGGGATTTTTATGGCCCAATAGTATAACGGGGGACAATTTTGAATAATTTATCATAGTAGAGGGATAGATCAGACCCTTTTCCGAATATAAAATAAATCCTTGCCCAATATCTTGCATATGTCACTGCTCATCAAATGTTAATGTTATGCGCTAAGTTGCTTGGGTTCGGATGTGGGTATCTGATATGGGTATGGATCCGAGAGTCAGATTCGACAAAAATAAACTTTAAGATTCGGGGGTGCGGATTCAGATATGAATACGGGTGCTAGGATTCGGCTAAAAAAATTCAAAATTATAAATAGAGCTATAAAAGATATTGAGTCGTAACTTGCCAAAAGGTCAACAATACCAATGTTTCCACAATAAATAGCCCATGATTTAACCACAATGTGTACAAGAATCTCAATAGTAACAAAAAAATGAGAATTGCTCAGCTAGGAAAGATATCTCAATAATTAACAACCTCGCCTCAATGTGATAACAACTTTTACAACTTCAACACCAATAACTCAACAACAAGATATACCACAAAATAATAATTCAAGTAAAAGTAATTCAATAATTAAAGAGGTAACAAGACAATAAGGAAGGAAATAACTTCAACTGAGGCATATAAGAGCAAAATAACAAGAGGTATAACAAGTGCTAACAACGTCAAATAAAGCATGTAAGAGTAGATTAGCAGTGAGAGATATAATATGTCATAACAATTCAATGTAAGGTATGGAAAGAGTCTAAATAACCTAAATCAATCAAATACCACATATAGCTTGTGTACACGTCTTTCACATAACACAAATAGCACAATCAACCCAAATCCAAAGGGATAGTTCCCCCACACAAAGTTAGCCAAGATACTTACCTTAATAAGGCCAACTCAATCCTCGAAAATAGCTTTTCCCCTAAAATTCGCCTCCATACGGCTCAAATCTAACCAAACCTAAGTTAATAACAGCCAACAATGCAAGAGAAACCAATTATAATAGTTACAGCTATGATCTTTACACATCTCCCAAAAAAAGGTCAACCCCGGGCCTGCCCGGTCAAAATCCGTGTTCAATGGTAGATTCCGACTACCCATAATCCAGTGAGTCTATACATGTGATTAGTTTTCAAATACGAGTCCAAATCGACTCTCAAAACTCAAATCTTTATTTTTCAAAACTTTGACAAAAATCCCCAAATTTCCTCTTTAATTCACATAAATTTGATGTTAAATCTATGATATATTCATGAAATATTATTGAAAATTGATTAGAATCACTTACCCAATGTTTGTAGGTGAAAATCTCCTCCCCAAATCGCCTCCTATCGAGACTAGGGTTCTAAAACGAGAGAATATGGTGAAAAATCTCGGCTACCAACCCTTATGTTCAGTTGCAGGTGTCGCATTCGCAATATTGGGTTCGTATTTGGGAACCCTCGTAATTGTGGAATAGGATCGCATTTTCGAACCCTGGCAGACTCCTCAGAAGTGCCAATTGCGACAAAGTCTTCACAATTGCGAAGCTGACACCTTCCACAAAAGTGACCAATTGGTCACAATTGCGACCTCAACCCAGGCCTCGTGACTACGCAAATGCAAAGGGGGAAAGTAGAATTTGCGGCATTTGACCAACCTCTGTCCCCATCACAATTTAGAGGCTGGTGCTCGTAATTGCGACATCAAAGCACCAGCACACCATCAATTCTATTTTCAGTCCAAATCATTTCACGAGTCGTCCGAAACTCATCCGAGCCTTCGGGGCTCCAAACCAAACATCCACACAAGTCTAGAAATATCATACGATCTCGCTTGCGCAATCAAAACACAAAAAGAACAACTAGAACTATGAATCAGACACCAAAACGCATGAATTTCAAAGTAAAGTTCAAGAACCTCTAGAATTGCAACCAAGCGTCTGAATACTATCAAATCAACTCCAAATGACACCAAATTTCGCACACAAGTTCTAAATAGCATAATGGACCTATTCCAAGTCCCAAAACCAATTTCCAAATTTGATAGCCAAAAGATAACCTACGGTCAAACTTCTAAACCTCAAATTGTCAATTTTCGGCAAAACAACACAACCTAACCTACGGACCTCCGAACTCGACTCAGGACATATGCGTAAGTCCAAAATCACGATATGAACCTATCGGAGCCATCAAAGCACCATTCAGGATCGTTTCCACAAAAGTCAAATATTGATCAACATTTCTAACTTAGGCTTCTAAGCCAAGAATAAAAGGGTCCAATCAACCCGAAACCTTCTCGGAACGTGTAACGACCGTAACGATCCGGCCAGTCGTTTTGAGAGTTGTAGCCCCGTTCTCCCATTCACTGATTATTTTATGCTTTACTGTTATTTTATGACTTATCGGTTAGTTGGTTCGGGTCCGGAAGAATTTCGGCTTGAATTGAGACACTTAGTCTCAAAATGAAAAGGTTAAGTTGATAAAGTTGATCGGATGTTGACTTATGTGTAAACGACCCCGAATTTGAGTTTTGATGGTTCAGTTAACTCCGTTAGGAGATTTTGGACTTAGGAGCAAGTCCGAATTGTGATTTGAAGGTCCATAGTAGAATTAGGCTTGAAATGGCGAAAGTTGGAATTTTGGAAAGTTTGACCCGGGTGGAATTTTTGATATTGGGGTCGGATTGGATTACCGGAGGTTCGAGAAGGTCCGTGGTATCATTTGTGACTTTGTGCAAAATTTGAGTTCAATCGGACGTGATTTGATAGGTTTCTGCGTCGTTTGTAGAATTTGGAAATTTCAAAGTTTGTTAGGCTTGAATTGGGGTGCGATTCGTGTTTTTGATGTTGTTTGAGGTGATTTGAAGGCTCGACTAAGTTCGTATGATGTTTTAAAACGTGTTGGCGAAGGGTTAAATAATATGGAGAAACTGAATATAAATTATATAGCAAGGTGGACACTAAATCTTCCCATGGAGAGAGGTTAATGAACTTTAAAGGAGTAAATTCAACTACTCTTCGACGTAATATAATATATAGATTAGTATTTTCTATGCTTTGCTGCTGTATCATACTGATTTGCATTAATAACATAAGGAGAAGCAAGAAAAAATAACAACAACAAACTTAGGGTAATAATTCCATAACTAGTTTCTAGGGAGGGTCGTGAACTCGCAAACCATACCCTTATCTTAAGAAGGTATGAGACTGTTTCCGATAGACTCTCGACTCAAGAAAATATGAAAAAGAAGCAATAATCACAAGCAGTAATTAACATCCGCAAGATAATCAGAAAATTGAAGCGAAAGAAACAACAGATAGTAATAGCAATCTAATAATAAGAAAATACAAGATTAAAACTAATAGTTGTAAGAAAAAAGAGAGATAAAATTAAAAATAGAAGTTGCTAAGAGTTATTAAAGTTATATTTATGTATTGGGGGTTCTATTAACAATGTGATAGATTACTTCAATTAGTATATTTTTCTTCCAATTTAAGTATTGTCCAGAGACTTAGATATTTCAAATTTGCTACTCTTCTCTTGATCTATGAGCAAAGGCACACCAAAAATACTTATGGAAATGGGTTGGCGATTCTTAAAAATTTTCTGGGCAGAAATATTTATGATGATAATTTAAAACTATAAGATCAACTTTATGTTTTAAAGTTTGAGTAGGTGGTTTTTCATTTTTAGTTAGCATGAGTTGTCAACTAGTATTATTAGAGATAAAGCCAGTGAGATATTGTGAATTGTGATAATACAGTTTTACAGGAGTGAACCCACTGACTACAATATTAATAAAAAGTAAATCAGAAATTTCAATTGTAATTAATATTACTTATTACCCTATATTAAAATCCTACGGTGAAAATGTACAAAATTAAAAATAGAAAATGTATACGAATTCCATATAAAAAAGGAACCATCTGCAGTTTAATACAGTAATATATTTTAATAACCACATTCCAGTTGCAAATATTATATATCGATCGAGTTCATCTTCAATTTGATACTCACATGCATATTCCAAAAAGAACGGATCTGAAACCAGTTCAATTCATTATTTTAATTTAGGTTAATAAGTCTAAACTAATTATACAACTTAGGTTTCATTGATAACATCTCCGTTTTTCAAGGGAGGGTAGTGTGGGAGAGAAAGGAACTAAGGATAAATAAATAAATAAATAAATAAATAAATAAATAAATAAATAAATAAATAACCATTCAGGAGCCAATTCTTGGCCTATAAATTACGCCATTCAAAAAGAAACATTGCTATGCTTGGACAAGAACTTTCGTAAAAGGAGAAATACCAATTCTAAGATAATGCCGTTTAAGCTTGGTTCTATTTTCACTATTCTTCTCTTGACAGCTAGTAGTAAGTATTAATCTCTGCTTATATATAGATTGTAATTATATTATTATCGTTGGCAATATATTTTTAGGTAATTTGATTTCCATAATAATAATTTTGAAATCTTTCAGTTAACTTGTCGTGGTTTCCAAAAACGCAAGCTATGTCAACACGGGATATTAATCACGATGCTTTAGAATTCCAAAGAAGACTACTCCCACAAGTTAATGATCTTATAACTTGCGGAAGAGGTTGTACGACAAAGAGTGATTGCAGTGATTGTTGGCTGTGTTGTGACTGCGACTTGGCATTAGAAGTTGGTAGTTATGTATGTGTGCATTGAACTCCGCTACATATTTCTAATATGCATTTAAGTTTCCATGTAATTTCAATGTTCTCTTTGGTGTTTTTACTTTCTTTTGTAAAGTCATGTGGATAGATTTCCACTAAGAATAATTATGGATTCAACTCTAAGGCTGGCCGGCTAGCTTTTTAATACATATATGATTCAATAATCATTTGCTAAGATTTGCTTTATCGCATATGTAATCTACTTTAGCCTCCTCTTTTAATGTTCTTTATTTACTTTATTGAAATATTCCTTCCCAATAATCTGATGTCACGATCCGGATTTCCCACCTTCGGGGGTCGTGATGGCGCCTACTAGTAGGAGCTAGGCAAGCCAAGCTTAATCACTTCCCATTAAGCACCTATTCCTTTTTAATAATTAACAGCATTAAAATAGAGGCAACGGAACTAATTTCATAAGCGGAAGTCTTAAATTTCAAATAACTGATTAAAATACAGAATTCCCAACATGAATCTCTACCCAAGAACTGGAGTCACATACTCACAGACGGTCTAAGAATACTACACATAAAGGTCTGAAAGAAATAAACTCGACACAGTCTCCAGAATTACATGAAAGAAACAGGAACATAGATGAAAGGAGACGCCAGGGCCTGCGAACGCCTGCAAGGCTACCTCGGGTCTCACTGGACTGAAAGCCTGCTCCCACTCTATTGCTGCTGCTGTCTGAAGCCTGGGATCTGTGCAAAATAGCACAGAGTGTAGTATCAGCACAACCGACCCCATGTGCTGGTAAGTGCCTAGCCTAACCCCGGCGAAGTAGTGACGAGGCTAGGACCAGACCACCAAATAAACCTGTGCAGATATATATACAAGTACAACGGAGACGTAGCAAGAAAATAACAATTTAAGATGGGGAAGGGAGCATGCTTCAGGGGCAACAGTTAGAAATAGAATTTCAGGAATAATAAAGCGTACATCTACAATTTAACTTCTAGCAGTAAATGAAGAGATAAGGCAACTTTCATATTCAGTTCATCTTGTTGCAGGCGTGTAACCCGATCCCATTTCTCAATATCTCTTGGTAGGCGTACCACCCGCTTCCATTTCAATATCACTCGTGGTAGGCGTACCACCCGCTCCTATTTCAATATCACTTGTGGTAGGCGTACCACCCGCTCCCCTTTCAGTTAATCAACAGTTGCTCCAAAAGAAATTTTACTCTAACAAACGCAACAATTAATACGAGTTCTTAAGACAACGAGTACACAAAATTTATGATTCACTAAGGAAAACAAATAATGACAATTAGTAATTAATTATGGATTAGAAGGAGCGAATAGCCAATTTAACATTTAGTATGCTAAATGTCAAGTAGCAATTAAATCACATAAACATGTAGCAATTATAGCAAAATTTCAAAGAATAATGTTGTGCAAGGATACATCGAGCCAATAATAACAAGTAACACGATAAAGGAAAATGCCAACACAAAGAATCTCAGTAACAGGGGAATCAGACAATTAATGCACTTGAACCGATAACAGCCAGAAAATCAATAAATAGAAGTAAAGGACAACATAACTCAATTATCAGCAAAAAAATCAGGAAAATCAAAGACAAGTGCACGGAATCACCCTTCGTGCTTTTACTCTCGTCCTCACCAAGCAATTAGAATAACAAAATGTGCACGGCATCACCCTTCGTGCTTTTACTCTCTTTCCTCACATATAATCAATAGAATTGGCACGAAATGGTACATCGTGCGGCACGGCATCACCCTTCGTGCTTTACACTCTTTCCTCACAATANTCATATCATGGCACGGAATGTTCCTTCGTGCATTAGTAATCATATCATGGCACGGAATGTTCCTTCGTGCATTAGTATTCATATCACAATCGTGCACGGCATCACCCTTCGTGCTTTATCACTCGTCCTCACCCAAACAACAATCACAAACAATGGGGCGAGGGAATAGACAAACAAAATAGTAATCCCGGTAAGGGAACAATAACAACAATTTCAGTATCCCGGCAAGGGAGACAAGTCTACCAAACAGCAAAACATCCCGGCAAGGGAATAACCAATAACTCATTAGCTTTCGTTCATTTCTTACTTCACATCTCACTTTATCACTTGAGCCAATGCTCCCAAGAACCTTACATTTCATAATTTCCTTCTCATACTCTCTATCACATAGGAATCATCAACTAAGCATGGAAAAGCACAACAAGTTAAGAATAAACACAACATAAGGACTCACGATCATGATAGACACCAGTGTATAGATACTCGTCACCATGCCTATACACCGTACTCGACAATTAGCAAGTAGCGAACAAGACTCAACTCCTATTCCCTCAAGCTAAGGTTAAACCAAACACTTACCTCGATGCCTTGAACTCAACTCAAGCCTCAACTATGGCTTTACCTCGCAATTCCACCTCCAAACCGCTCGAATCTAGCCACAAATTACTTAATTACATTAATAAACACTAAATGAATCAATTTGAATGCATAAAAAGTGAATTCCCCAAAGTTTTTCCCAAAAATTCCAAAATCGCCCCGGGCCCACGTGGTCAAAACCCGAGGTTCGAACCAAAACCCGGTTACCCATTCCCCCACGAACTCAAATATGTAATTTATTTTAAAATCGGACCTCAAATTGAGGTCCAAATCCCCAATTTATAGAAAACCTAGGTTCTACCCAAAAACCCCAATTTCACCCATGAAAATCCTTGATTTTAAGTGAACACATGTTAAATGATGTTAAAGATTGAAAGAATTGAGTAAAAATCGACTTACAAATGATTTGGAATGAAGATTGTTCTTGAAAAATCGCCTATGGTGTTTGGGTTTTGAAAGAATGGTGAAAAGTGATAAAAATTCGACTAAGTATAAAATTTGCTGGGCCTCGGATATGGGAAATGCGAAGCTGGGTTCGCAATTGCGAACCCTGCAGGCTTGGAAATTTCGATACTTCAGTTCGCATTTGCGAACTCAGGTCTAACTGACAGGTTTCGCATTTGCGAATATTACATCGCATTTGCGATGACCACTACCTCGCATTTGCGAACCTTCTCCCGCATTTGCGAACACAGAGGAAAAATGGGACTATCGCATTTGCGACTAGAGGATCGCATTTTCGATCTAACAATCTTCGCATTTGCGAACACTTCAATCGCATTTGCGAAAATCACAGAAGCCAACATACCAGATTTTTCAAAAATGAGAAATGCAATCCGATGCCTATCCAAGACTCACCCGAGCCCTCGGGGCTCCAAACCAATTATGCACACAACCTCAAAAACATCCTACGGACTTATCCGTGCGATCAAATCGCCAAAATAACATCATATACAACGAATTAAACCTCAAAATTCATAATTTCTTCCAAGTTTTCATCAAACATCAAATTTCCATTTCAAGTCCGAAACACGTCAAACGACGTCCGTTTTCAACTAAACTTTACAGAAAGCGCTTAAACCATATATAAGACTTATACCGGGCGTCGGAACCAAAATACGAGCCCGATACCACAGTCTTTTAATCGAAATTCTTTTCCAGTTTCCTTAATAATTTCATAAAACAATTTCACAGAAAAATTCATTTCTCGGGCTCTAGACCTCGGAATTCGACTCCGGGCATATGCTCGAGTCCCATATTTTTCTACGGACCCTCCGGGACCGTCAAATCACGGGTCCGGGTCCGTTTACCAAAAATATTGACCGAAGTAAAATATATTCATATTAATATCAAAATTTAGCATTTTTCACACAGAATTCATATTTAAGCTTTCCGGCTACGCGCCCGGACTGCGCATGCAAATTGAGGCAACCCTAAATGAGGTTTTCGAAGCCTCGGAAGCACGAAATGAATAAGAAAACAGGTGATGACCCAAAAGGGTCATCACATTCTCCACCTCTAAAACAACCGTTCGTCCTCGAACGGACAAAAGAAAGAAGTACCTGAGTCGGGGAAAAGATGGGGATAACGGCTCCGCGTATCAGACTCGGACTCCCAGGTCGATGCCTCAGGGGGCTGACCTCTCCACTGAACACGAACAGAAGGAAAACTCTTAGATCTCAACTGACGAACCTGCTAGTCTAGAATAGCTACCGGCTCCTCCTCATAAGATAAATCCTTGTCCAACTGGACAATGCTGAAGTCTAACACATGGGTAGGATCGCCGTGATACCTCCGAAGCATAGGCACATGGAAAACTGGATGCACGGCTGATAAGCTAGGTGGCAATACAAGTCTATAAGCCACCTCTCCCACTCGATCAAGAACCGCAAACGGGCCAATGAACCTTGGGCTAAGCTTGCCCTTCTTCCCAAACCTCATCACGCCCCTCATAGGCGACACTCGGAGCAATACCCGCTCGCCAACCATAAATGCCACATCTCGAACCTTGCGGTCTGCATAACTCTTTTGCCTAGACTGAGCTGAACGAAGCCTATCCTGAATGATCTTGACCTTGTCCAAGGCCTCCTGAACTAAATCTGCACCCAATAACCGAGCCTCTCCCGGCTCAAACTATCCAACCGGAGACCGACACCGCCTACCATATAAAGCCTCATAAGGAGCCATCTGGATGCTCGACTGGTAGCTGTTGTTGTAGGCAAACTCCGCTAAAGGCAAGAACTGATCCCATGAACCTCCAAAGTCAATAACACAATCCCGGAGCATATCCTCCAAAATTTGAATAGTCCGCTCGGACTGACCATCCGTTTGGGGATGGAATGTTGTGCTCAACTCGACCCGTGTGCCCAAATCTCGCTGAACTGCTCTCCAGAAGCGCGAGGTAAACTGCGTACCCCGATCCGAAATGATAGATGCCGGCACACCATGAAGGCAAACAATCTCCCGGATATAAATCTCAGCTAATCTCTCGGATGAATAGGAGACTGCCACAGGAATGAAATGCGCTGACTTGGTCAGCCTATCCACAATGACCCAAACTGCATCGAACTTCTTCCGAGTCAACGGAAGTCCGGTAACAAAATCCATAGTAATCTGCTCCCACCTCCACTCGGGAAGGTCAATCCTCTGAAATAAACCACCAGGCCTCTGATGCTCGTACTTAACTGCTGACAATTCAAACAACGAGCCACATATGCTACGATATCCTTCTTCATTCTACGCCATCAATAATGCTGCCGCAAATCCTGATACATCTTCGCGGCGCTCGGATGAATAGAGTACCTGGAGCTGTGGGCCTCCTCTA